CAGGCGGCCTCGCCAATGCCTGGAGGGAGAAGGGAGGTAAAGAGCAAGCGAGGGAGCCCCCAGCCGCTAATGAGAATAGCCTGGGGTGGGTGGGTAGGTGGGAGAGGGGAGGCGGGGTCGTCTGGAGGAGGGCGACGCGGAGTGAGCCGACGGCGCTGCTGGGTGCGCCTCCCGCCGACGGGACCCAGGCGTGTGCCTTGGGCGGGAGGAACCCGCGGGATGGAGCCCCGAGGGAAAGGGGTGGGGGGTGAGGAGGACAGCGGGAAGAGGCGGGCGGGCGGCCAGAGGAGTGTGGGCTGCAATCCTCAGAGGCCAAACATTGGCCCCCTTCTCCGCACGTTTCGGGGAGGCAGTCTTGCGGAACGCCTCGCGCCCCTTCAGTGGAAAGGCGCCGAAGAGGCTGCCTCACGTGCCATTGCCAGGACGGGGCGCCTGATGAATCCCCTCAGGAACCACAGGGGGAAGCCTCCCTGTCGGAGCAGACCTTGAGGACTTGACAAGGAAGGAGCGCGAGCCAGGGGACGCGCGCGCGGGACGTGTGTGTGTCTGTCTCCCTCTGTGTGGGTATATATATCTTCACGCGCGCGTGTGTCTGTGTCTGTGTCTGTGTCTGTGTCTCCCTCTGTGTGGGTATATATATCTTCCCAAGTTTGCGAAGTGCGCTCAGGGCTGATAGCCTCCTGGACGGTTCTGCTCCCTCGCCTTTGAGTTCTAACACAGGATGCTGAGGCGGCCATCTTCGGCTCCCTTACTTCGGAGAAAGGCTGGCTGAGACCTCAGGGCGACTTCTGTCAGAGAAAAGACAGAGAACCAGTGCGCAGAGAGTTAGAGGGGGACTCGGGAGACTTGGGTTCAAAACCTTGCTGGGCTATGGAAACTCATTGCAAAGTGAGTCAAACCACCACCACCCCGTCCCCCGGATGTCTTTCATACTTCAGAAAGCCTGTTAGGGTCACGATCCGGGGGAAGCAACTGAAAGAACAAAACGGTAGAGACGTATAGGGCTGGGCTGTAAATCTGGGCAGGAGATTGTCTTCAGGTGGGTCACTGCTGCGCTTCCCCCTCGCCCAATAAAGGTCGGGGTGGGAGCAGGGAAGCCGGTCGCTCTGGTTGATCCCATCTGGCAAGCCCTGTACGGGCGACCTCGTTGCCAATCGCCCCTTCTTCCCGCAGGACTACCTCGCCTCCCTCCCCGTCTCCCTCTCCTCGTTGACTGGGGCGAGAAGGCGGCCTCACTGCCACAGCCCCGCGTTGATATGCAGGGCGAATAACGCATGCCTTCAAACAGAAGTATTTGGGCGGCCGAGGTAGCTGTAAAGGCCGATTAGAGCGCCGAGGACTTTTTGCCGCTTTTTATGCAAAAAACAGTTTCATGGCGAAATCGGAGAGGCGCGGGCGGGGGGAGGGGGAGGCAGCCGCCAGCGCCGCGCCGTAACTCTCGGGCATGTCAGATTTCCAGGAAGGCAAAGAGATTAATCATGTCCTTCGACGTGATTTGCAGGAGGGAAAAGCTCTCGCTCACTTCTTTCTTGGCGGCTCCCTCCGCGAGGATCCTGTTTCTCTTCTTTCCAAAACTCGTTAATGGGCTGGACACGTGACCAACTCCCCACACGTCTTTTCCCGACCGTCTTTTCTGTGCGCGCTCTTTGGGGGGAGGAGGTGTGTTATATAGGACTGGGAAAAGGCAAATGGATGGAAGAGACATGATCATGAACAGTGGGGAAGAAACCAGGCTGATCTATGCCCGCGTTGAGAGACACGCTGCTCCACTTAAGTAATAATACGTCCGGATAAATAAAATGAACTAAATTCGCCCGCTCTTCGCTTCTTTTCAGCCCCGCAATTTCGTACATACATTTTGCACGAACGAACGTTTCTCCGGCGCTGCTCCCTCAGCCGTTCTCCAGCCTACACTTACCAGGATTACAATAAAGCCTGTGGCTTTTCCGAGTCAAATTCCAGATCGCCTCCTTCCACCGTTATTTTTAAAGGCAGGACGTGGAAGTCAAGGAGGCTTTGCTGAAACCTGGGGTCTGCTCACCTGTTTCCTAGGTCGAATTGTTCCTCCTCCAGTTTATTGCATTCCTCTGGAGTAGGGATGGAGATGGGATGGGATTACATGGATTTTGATCACCCAGACATGATCCTGCTAAAGTTCAGTCCAATTCCTTGGAAATCACATCCCTTAGAAATTGATGAAATTGGCCAGCGTGGGGGTGGGGGTGGGGTGATAAGGAAAACCAGCTGGGATTATTGGCTAACTGACCTCGTGTGCCACAGTTTAATAAAACAGTTTCGTATATGGCAGTCAACAGGGAATGGAAACAGGGATTGCAATTTTGGAGGTGCTCTGAATTAGTGCTGGAGTTTATTCTGCACTTTCTGAACACTATCCAAGGTGCTGAACATATTTGTGGGAAACAGTCCCATGCCTTATATAGCTCCTGTAAAGTGCAGACTAAAACCAGGAATGGATTCAGAGCACCTTGAAATTGGCATAATTGGCCTCCTGTCAACAAGTGAGGCTCTTTATGTATGTATGTATGTGTGTGTTATGTGCTAACATGCATACATATAATAGGGTTTTCAAGGTAACCAAGATATTTAAAGAGTAGTTTTGCCATTGCCGGTCCCCCAGATAAGTTTTCATGGCTGAGAAAGGATTCAGGCTTAGGTCTCCTGAGTCCTAATCTGTCACTCCAGCCACTATACCACACTGGGTGCTCTTACAGTACTTGTTTTAATATACTGTAGAATTTAATATACAAGCCTTCAATAAAAGCAGGTTATGTTCTTTACTAATGGGTTACAGATAACTGGCTAAATCCAATTCAATCTTTAAAAAAGCCCCTCTACCTTATGAATGTGGTTCATAGGGTAAAGGGGTTCACCAGGGACATTGCGGCGCTGCAGGTTAAACCGCAGAAGCCTCTGTGCTGTAAGGTCTATAGATTTGCAGCTGTAAGATCGAATCCACATGACGGAGTGAGCACCTGTCACTTGTCCCAGCTCCTGCCAACCTAGCAGTTCAAAAGCATGCAAATGCGAGTAGATAAATAGGTACCACCTCGGTGGGAAGGTAACAGCGTTCAGTGTCTAAGTCGCACTGGCCATGTGACCATGGAAGATTGTCTTCGGACAAACGCTGGCTCTATGTCTTGGAAACGGGGATGAGCCCCTAGAGTCGAACATGACTGGACAAAAATTGTCAAGGGGAACCTTTACCTTTACCTTACCTTATGAATGAGGGACATTGTGCTTCTGTATCCATAATTTGCAACACCTAGAGATGGGGCAAAATTGCTGCATAGTATTGTGTCCACATTGCCAGCAGGAAAATAAGAAACATAGCAAAGAGCAGCCTGAATGTCAACAGTCCACACATCCATGTCAACAGTCAAGATAGTCTACAGGATAGTCTCTTGTGCTCACTCCCATTTCTTCTATGCATTTCAATTCCTTTGTGGCTCCAATCAATATATACCTAGAGATAATACCAGTGCCACTGGTATTGTCAACATTTAGGCTGCCCTTTGCTATGTAAAGCTTGGCATCCTTTTTCTAGTTGGCAATGTGGGCACAATATTGTGCAGCAATATTAGGCCATCTCCTGGCATTGTAAATCATGGATATAGAAGCACAATACCCCACATTCGTAAAATGGAATTTTTTTCGAAGAATTGAATTCCTGGTTTTAAAAAAAGTTTAAGTATATAGAAACTACACACAAATTCCAACTGAAACTTCCATGATGTAGAATTATCCAATGCTAGAGGATCCCAAATGATGGTCATGTGATCTGTAACATAGTTGCTGGAGGAAGGGAGAACTAAGAGCAGCTGGGATGTGGCTGTAGTACCTCTGTACCCAAATATTTATTTATTTTATTTATTATTAGATTTTTATCCCGCCCTTCTAGACTGCGTCTACTCAGGGCGGCTCACATCAGAATCTTACATAAAAACAGTTAAAACAATAATTTAAATCGACAATATTAATGTTAATCAAGATGGAAAAGTAAACAAAAAGCCAAGCAGAAAGTAAAAGTCAAGTATTTTGAAGGGCTATTTTGGACTTGGAAATCATGAAGCAAAAATGTGAATGAGCGCAAGAGATACAACAGAGAAATATGCACACCTTTTAACTTTTCGGGTAAACTAATGTTGCCATACCTCCTCTGCTGAATGCAGATTAGAGGGCAGTCTTCTGATTCCCAAACCCTTGCTTTACAAATATGGTGCTTACATGTTTTCCCAGATATGTCCCTTCATCTTTTGAAATGGAAATGGAGGGGGGCTGGGAGTTAGCAAAGACTGTCACTAGCAACCAAGGTCAAAATCAACCATAATATGTAAAAGATGAACAGTGAAGAAAGATGTGTGGGGGGGGGAGTGTCTACTCATTTGAAATGTGTTTCTGTTGAGGGAGAGCCTTATAGATGCCACAGACCACCAAAAAGGCAAATACTGTAAGTGGGTGCTCAATCAAGTCAAGTCTGAACTTTCATTTAACAAAAAATGAGTAAATCGAGGCTTTCTGGGTGGTTCTGTTAATGCTACCTTGCACGTATAATGAGAATAAAGAAATGACTAGAAATGACAGTATTACTGGGAAAAGTTAAGAGGGGGTCAATAAGAAGAGAGGAAGACCTAATATGATTGTCTCAATAAAGGAAGCCACAGCTGTTAGTTTTTAAGACCTGAGCAAAATTTACTGGAAAAGAAAATATTGTGGTGGGAAGAGAGAACAAACTAACATAAAATGCTGTTGGTTGTTTGCAAAACCCTAACTCATATAATCACAACACCTCAGAAGT